TGACTTGACCCCTGCAACTACAACTAGGTGAGTACTGTCTGGCATCTAAAGTGTCATATCTGAGCACCTCTGCAAATGAGAGCTTATAAATATAATTCCAACAAATAGAAAAAATATCACACACAAAATGAGATAGCAAGCTACAGTGGGAAGAAATGAGGTTAGGCTAGGTAAGATTCCTCAGAAAACAGGACAAGTGTTTCCTGACGCAGGTCTTATTCAGATGATATCCCACTGTTGGAGCTTTTGGTCATCTCACCGAGGCCTTCTGTTCACTTACCGGTCCACCCCCTTCAAAAATTATGGTCATAATTATAACTATATGTAGTATTTAGAAATAACGAGTTGCTGTAAGGACCTCTGCTCAAGTACAGCCTCTCCTCGCTTAACGACGGAGTTCCACTCCTAAGACCACGTCGGTAAACAAATTCATCGTTAAGTGAGGAGCATACTATAATGGTAGTGGGTTTGTGTCAAGTATGATATTGTTTTAATGTCACCTTTGCACCATTTATAACATTTCTGGAATAAGTATTTTCAAGTGTTCATACAGTAGTGAACAGTGGACCCTCGTTTTTCATAAGCATCAGAAGTCATAATTTTAGAAAATCCTAACGTTTTTTCGTCAAAATACTGACTCACGAATCATCGTTTGACTCACAAATAGTCCTTCGTCCCAGACACGTAAGCACGGCCCCCAAGTGGCCCCACACTCCACTCCCAGCCAGTGTGCCATTGTTTATCAGAGAATGAGGACTATCCCACGCATTCATATCGATACATTTCTTAATGTTCCATTCGCTTTAGTGCTTGCAACTGCTAAATAAGCCACTAACAGCCAAGGCTGTTTTTACCACACTTAAGATCCCAACAGAACGAGGTGAGGAGTCCACACGCACAACCTGGCTATGGGAAAGAGGTAATTGGCCAGCCCTTTGCTCTGAGCTCGCCACCACCGACTGGAATGCTCTTCTCCAGGGGGATGTTGACAACCAAGTGAAAGCCTTCACTGGACACATCCTTAATCTGCAACAAGAACACATTCCTCACCGGCAATATGTGACAAAGCCTACAGATCAGCCTTGGTTTGGCTTTCGTTGTAGAGAGGCTGCTACTGCTAAGTACAAAGCATGGCGAAGGGTATAAGAGACATCCTACCACCTATAACAGGAACTTGCACATGCAAGCCTGTAGGCATATGGGTGATGTTCAAAAAGTGGGCCATTGCTAAATGGGAGGTGGACACTAAAAGAAAGTTAGCATCAGGTAGGGTAGGCTCCAAAACCTGGTGGTCCCTGGTCAAGGACAGACAAGGTTATCTGCCTGATGAACTTATTCCACCTCTAAATCGACAGGATGGGACCACCTCTACTAGTAGTCAAGAGAAGGCGGACCTCTTTGCTGAACACTTTGCTACCAAAATGCAAGTTCCTGATCCCGCAAGGGACCCTCCTTGGCTAGCTGCAAGAACTGTGTCAAAACTGTCAGTGGTGACAATAAGGCAGGAGGAGGTGCATTTCCTTCTTAAATCACTTGACCAAGAAAAGGCTGTGGGCCCAGACAAGTTGAGCCCAAGATTGTTGAGAAGATGTGCAGACCAGCTAGCAGCACCTCTAACTCGCATCTTTCAGCACTGCCTAGTACAGTGTAAATGGCCCTCTCCATGGAAAGAGGCAAATGTAGTCCCTGTTCACAAAAAGAAGAGCAGAGCAGAAATCAGCAACTACAGACCAGTGTCACTCCTGTCAATCACTGGTAAGATCCTTGAGACAATTATCTCAAGGCAAATGACAGATTTTTTTGACTACCACTCACTACTTTGTGATCGTCAATATGGCTTCAGGAAAGGTTACTCTGCTGCTGATCTGTTGCTAAACCTCTCCACTAAGTGGCACCAGTCACTGGATGAATCCAAAGTCAGCTGTGTGGTAGCACTGGACATTGCTGGCGCTTTCGACCGGGTGTGGCACCAGGGCCTCTTAGCAAAACTTCAAGCACTGGGAATTGCAGGCTCTACGCTATGTCTCCTCAGTGATTACCTTCATGGTAGATCTCTAAGTGTAGTCCTCAATGGAACGGAATCAGCAAGGCATCCTATTGGGGCAAGCGTTCCACAAGGAAGCGTGCTGGGTCCACTGTTATGGAATGTCTACTTCAACGACCTTCTTCATCTCATCCCAGAATCACATGCATATGCAGACGACTGTACACTGACTTTCACTTATCCAAGAGAAGAAATGCCAGCTGCTCTAAGCTACATCAATCACCAGCTGAGAGCTATATCAGCTTGGGGAAATAGATGGCAAGTAACATTTGCACCTGAGAAAACGCAAATGATGATCGTCTCTAGGCACCATGATGGTAATGCTGGTGCAGTAGTAAGGATGAATGGGACGATGTTGGCACCTGGAGAAGAAGTTGATATCCTTGGGGTGAAATTTGACTCCAAACTAACCATGAAGAACCATGTTGTAAATCTTGCAAACAAGGCCGCAGGAAGCTTACAGCACTTCGCCGTATCTCGCATCTGCTTGACAGTAGGGGTTGCAAGATCCTGTACGAGGCACAAGTACGCTCACACCTTGAGTATGCTCCACTTTCTTGGTTTGCCTGCCCCCCCTCTCATCTGCGACTGCTTGACAGAGTAGAGAACAGAGCAAGACGTCTCATCTCTCGCCTGGACCCATCCTGGATAGATCTGTCATTTCAGCAGAGCCTTCAACATAGGAGGGATGTGGGTGGCCTTACTGTTATGTACAAGGCCAATATTGTCAAAATACCACACTTGGATCCACTTCGAGGACAGCGTGAAACAAGCTTTATGCCACAAGACGGGCAGAAAGCAGCAACTTCACTCTGGCTGTACCCTTCTCCAGAACATCACTCCATCTGAGATCATACATACCCAGGATGACTCGAGTATGGAACACATTCGTACAGCATAATGATATCAACGAGATAAAGTCAGTTGATCAAATGAAAATGCTGGCCCACAGATGGCTCCAACTTCATCCTGTCCCGTACTTGTATGTCTCATAACAATAAAAATGCTTTCAAATGAGCTGATGTTGGTAACAGCTCTTAGCTTGCCAATAAAGTTAGGAATCCTTAACCTGTAATATAGCTGTCAATAAAGCTAGGGATCCTTAACCTTGTCAAACCCTGTGTAAAAAAAAAAAAAAAAAAAAAAAAAAAAAAAAAAAAAAAAAAAAAAAAAAAAAAAAAAAAGTCCCAAAGAAAGCTCCATGTGCCAGGTCTTTGGTAAAGAAGGTGAGAAACACAAAAGAATTCAAGAAAGACATCATTGCAAAATATGAAAGTGGAGTATATGTGGCAGAGCTTGCCAGACTGTACAACAAACCCCACACAACCATCGCTTCTATTGTGGCCAAGAAAAAGGAAATCAAGGAAGCTATTGTTGCAAAAGGGGTAAATATGCTCACATAAATGAGATCGTAAGTGCTTGAAGATGTTGACAAGTTATTGTTGGTGTGGATCAACGAGAAACAATCAGCAGGAGATAGTGTTATGCAGTCGATAATTTGTGAAAAGGCAAGGCAGCTGCATGACATTCTCATAAAGAAAATGCCTGCAATGAGTGCTGATGTTAGTGAATTTAAGGCCAGCAAAGGCTGGTTTGAGAGATTTAAGAAGCATAGTGGCATACACAGTGTGGTAAGGCATGGCAAGGCTGCCATTTTGACAAAATATGTGGCTGAAAAATACGTGTGTGAATTCAAACGTGGGAAAAATTCAAACCCCAACAAGTGTTCAATTGCGACGAAACAGGCCTCTTTTGGAAGAAAATGCCAAGGAGTGCCTACATCACACAGGAGGAAAAGGTACTACCAGGACACAAGCCTATGAAAGACAGGCTTACTCTTGTTCTGTAGTAATGCTAATGGGGATTTCAAAGTGAAGCCTTTACTAGTGTATCACTAGTACTAGTGTATCACTAGTACTAGTGTATCAGCGAAGAGCTAACTACTGAAGAGCTGCACGAGCTTCATCTGCAACAGCAACAGACCACAGCTCAGAAGATTGCTTCAGAGGAGGAAGGAGAGAGATTTAGGAAGGTGCTTACTTCAGAGATTAAGGAGATTTGTGCAATGTGGAGTAGGATGGAAAGATTTGTGGAGGAACATCACCCTGACAAAGCTCTTGCAAACCATGTTGGCAACATGTACAATGACAATGTCTTGTCCCATTTTAGGAAAGTTTTAAATTTTAAACAGAGCTCTCTGGGCAGATATTTAATGCCACAGGTGTGCAGTGACTCAAACTGGTCCTAGTGGAATTAAAAAACAAAGAAGGGAAGTAATCCCAGATAAGGAGTTGGTACCTGAAGTTTTTATGGAAGGGGATTCCCCTTCTAAACAGTAATTAATCCATCCTCTCCCCTCCTCCCGTCGTCCATACACTAAGAAGAATCGTCAATAAAGGTAAGTGTCAAGCTATTACTGTTTATTCTTCATGTCTCATTGTTTTCTGTGTAGGTAAATTACAGTATTTCATGTAAAAAAATGATTTTGTTTTAAAATTTTTGGGTGTCTGGAACAAATTGAATATACATTATTTCTTATGGGGAAAATGGTTTTGCAAATCGTCAATTTCGATATTAGTCACACTCTCTGGAATGGATTAATTACGAAGAACGAGGGTCCACTGTACTTTACGTATATTGTAATAAACAGAATAGAGGAAATCAGCTCTAATATACATTATTTAGGCATGCATACTGGTCAGAGAGCCAGCCGTAAGTCCGAGGCATCGGTAAACGAGTACGTCGACAATACCCAGCAAACCTCAATATAATGGATTAATAGGAGGCAATTAGTGGCCGTTAATGGCAATTGTAGTTGGCAAAGAAAAGACTGTCTAGACAGAATAGTAACAATAATAATTCTTTAGCCAACATACTTTGTGGCTTTCAAACAGATATTGTTTTACATTTCCAAAGTCTGTCACATTCAGGAATTACAAAAAAAAGAAAATGGTACCTGCATCATTATGTTGACAAATTCTTCTGGAGGTAGGGAAATTAAATAGGGGTACAATGTCATCCTCTTATCCAGCTGGTTTGAAAAGAAGGATTTCTTGAGTACACTGACTTGAGTCGTGAAGGTATGACGGAGTACAGTTCTCCATCGTTCTTCCCACATTTCAAGCATTTTTCTCTGTGAAAAGAGAAGTATAACATAAGCAGCCTCAATGAGTATCTATTGTTACGCAATGTTTCAACCTGCCTCTTTAGTAAGAACTAAGAAAAACTATAAAAGCCATCCAAAAATAAATAAATGAATGAATGAATGAATGAATGAATGTATGTACGTACATATGAACGTACGTATGTACAGTAGAGTCCCACTTATACGGCAGGTTAGGTTTCAGGATACCGCCAGAAAGCAGAATGTCATTTTTCCACTTACAAATGCATATAAATGCCAGATAACAAGTTTACACTAACATATATTAAGTTAGCAATAGAACTAGGCATTAAAAGCAATATAAAAAAAACAAGGTGTGGTAGGCTTGGTAGCCCTCCTGGCCACCCCACCCACACATAATATACTGCGACATTTAAAGCTCCCTAGAGTGATAAAATGCATATACAGTACACTCATTACTTACCTTAAAATATTTGTAGTCTTAATGATCTTAATGCAGGGTGAGAGGTGAAAAGTATTTATTTGTAAAAAGTTGGGTGTGGAAGGTATGGTAGCCCTCCTGGCCACCCCACACACGCAGAGTACTATGTAAACAAACGGATGAACACACCTGGTTATGGTTCATACAAACACCTTACATTGTGTACAAGTTGTCTCCACAGTGGTACAGTAGAATAAATAAAGAGCAACACTTCCATTCTCATGTAACATCATTTTTAGAAGGAATGATGCTCTGACAAGTTAATACAGTAGAATAAATAAACAGCAACACTCTTATCCTCATGCAACACCATTTTTAGAGTGAATGATGATATTATATAAACAGTAACACTCCTATTCTCAAGCAACACACAATTTTTAGAGTGATATTATTATAATCATAATAAAAAAAAGCACTAAACCCACAAGGGTCATGAATAGCTATAGAGTGAAGGCATACAAAAGTAATACTTTTCAACAGTTATCCCCCAGTAATTGTGCTTGACTTAGAGAAAACGTAATTCTTCCGACACTTTCACAAGCCGCTTGGAAAACACATCTGCTATTTATGTTAATTTATATATTGTGGGTGTACGTATCATGTTTATGTTACACAGCGTGTTCGCTATAATTTTGAAAAAAATTTAGATAGATTAATGGAAATGTCTAAATTAACGTAATATACGACATTTAATGCGCCCAAGAGATTACACATATTATTATTAACCCTTAACCCTTTCAGGGTCCGTGCCATAGATCTATGGCTTTACATTAAGGGTCCAAACCGTAGATCTACACCATGAGCTCAGCTCACTCTGATAAGCTGTGAGCAGTAAATTTGGGCCTAGATATGAGAGAATACATCTATGTGGTATGTGTGCACCACATAAAACAAATCTTGCAGCACACAGTGCATGAGAGAAAAAAAACGAGACCGCGTTTTTTCGTATGTTTTTTATAGCTGTATTTGCGATTTCTTGGTCTCATTTGATAGAATCGAAGATATATTACAGAAATAGAGATGATTTTGATTCGTTTTAGTACGGAAAATGGCTTGAAACTGAGCTGAAAGTAGCGGAAATGTTAAATTTTTGCCGATGTACAAGAATAAAAAATTACCTCACATATCTATACACGCCAGCTGGTGGGTCTAATATACATTCACAAATGTGGAGATATTATTTATACAATTATTGCAATATTGCATAACAGTAAGTTTTCTATTTTTTGGTGTGAATAAAAATTCATTATGTGAATAAAAAATCAAAATGGAATTTATTTGTAAAGACTCAAAACATAACTAATGAACAGAGGAAATGTTAGTTTAGTGCCAGGAATGCCTGCACTGTTTATTCTGGACCCTATTTTGAAACTGAAATATTTTGAACTTTGCATTAAATTGGCCAAATTACCAATTTCCGATCACATTACAGTGGGACCCTCGACATTCGATACTAATCCATTCCTGAGAGCTATCGAATGTCAAAAATATCGAAAGTCGAATTAATTTTCCCCATAAGAAATAATGGAAATCAAATTAATCCGTGCAAGACACGCAAAAGTATGAAAAAAAAAATTTACCACATGAAATATTAAGTTTAATGCAATAGAATAATTACAATAACAAAAATAACAATAGATTAATAACAGTAGAATAATTGACACTTACCATTAACCCTTTGAGGGTCGACAGGCCCTCTCCGAAACTTGTTCTCAGGGTCGGCCAAATTTCAAAAAAAAAAAAAAATTATTTTTTCTTATGAAAAGATAGAGAATCTTTTCCTGATCATAATGACACCAAAAGTATGAAATTTGATGGAAAACTTACGGAATTATGCTCTCGCGAGGTTAGCGGTCTTGACGATGTTTACGTATCGGCGATTTTGTCCACTTTGAGCCCTATTTTCGACCAATTCCAATGTACTAGTCGACAAAAATCGTAACTATCGTACTGTATTTTATACTGTGAGGTTTAGGATAAACACTTTGTACAACACAAACAGTTGTTTATTTCCCTGAAATTTGGCATACAAAACAGGTCATAAGTTGTATGTTGTATGTCGAGCAGGTCGTAAGTCGGATGGTAGGTGTATGCATTTTTTCACTTTAGGGTGCTTTAACCCTTTGAGGGTCGACAGGCCCTCTCCGAGACTCGTTCTCAGGGTCGGCCAAATTTAAAAAAAAAAAAATAATTTTCTCTTATGAAAAGATAGAGAATCTTTTCCCGATCATAATGACACCAAAAGTTTGAAATTTGATGGAAAACTTACGGAATTATGCTCTCGCGAAGTTAGCGGTCTCGGCGATGTTTACGCATCGGCGATCTTGCCCACTTTGAGCCCTTTTTTCGGCCAATTCCACTGTACTAGTCGACAAAAAACATGAATATTTCACTAGAACTCCATTTTTTCTATCGAATGAGTACAAGAAACCACCCATTTACCAATTTCAACCATCCAATAAAGTGGTAAGAATTTAGCAATTTTGCCAAATTCACACAAATTTCAAAAGATGCCAACTTCTGAATAGGGTCCAGAATAAACAAAAAAGACATTCCTGGCACTAAAACAACAAGTTCTCTGTTCATTAGTCACATCCCCAGGCCTCTCTTATATTTCTTTGGCTTTCCACTTTAAATTTTTATTCTTACAAAAAATAGAAGATTTACTGTTATGTAGACTACTGCATTAGTGTAGAAATGGTATAAATAATATCAGTGCACTTGTGAAAGAATATTAGACTCACCAGTTGATGTGTATTGGAAGCTTGGCATGATTTGTTTACTTTCGAACTTTGATAAAAATCGAACATTTCTGCGCTCAATTTCAAGGTACTTTTCATTGTAAAACCAGTCAAAATCACCTCAATTTCTGTAATATGTCTTCAATTCTATAAAATGAGACCAAGAAAACTAGAAGACAACAATAAATACCATACGACAATACAGTGCAAAGTCGCTGTTTTATTCCAAAAACACGGTCAAAGTTTTTTTTTTTTCTCATTACGCACTGTGTGCTGCAGGATTTTTTTTATACTGCGCACACTGACCACATAGACCCATTCTTTCATATGTAGGCCTACCACCTTTCTCTCATTAGATTTGAAGGCACTGGAATTTAGGCGTACTAGTACGTCAAAAACCCTGGGGTGTAAGCCGTACTAGTACGGCCGAAACCCTCAAAAGGTAATAAAGATCTGGTGATGATTGATGGGATGGGAGGAGGGGAGTGTGTGGATGGTGTTAGTGTTTAGAAGGGGAATCCCCTTCCATTAGGACTTGAACTGGCAGCCTCACCATGCCTTACCACACTGTGTATGCCACTACGATTCTTAACCCTTTGACTGTCGTGGCCATATATATACGTTTACGAGGTACTGTGTTTGACATATATATACTCATAAATTCTAGCGGCTTCAAATCAGGCAGGAGAAAGCTGGTAGGCCCACATGTGAGAGAATGGGTCTGTGTGGTCAGTGTGCACCATAAAAAAAAATCCTTGAGCACGCAGTGCATAATGAGAAAAAAAAAACTCCAACCGTTTTTTTAATTAAAATGCCGACTTTGTGGTCTATTTTTGTATAGTATTTATGGTTGTATTCTCATTTTCTTGGTCTCATTTGATAGAATGGAAACTATATTATAGAAATGGAGGTGATTTTGATTAATTTTACTATAAAAAGAACCTGGAAATGGAGCACAAAGTACGGGGAATGTTTGATTTTTTCCGATGTTCAAAAGTAAACAAATGATGTCATTGTCCAATAAATGTCCAACTAGCCATTCTAATACGCAGTCATGAATGGGTTGAAGTAAATTTTACAATTATTACAGTATTGCAGTAGTCTTCATAATAGTAAATCTTCTATTTTTTGTTTGAATAAAATTTCAAAATAAAAAGCAAGAGTAATATCAGAGGGGCCTGGAGACATGACTGATGAACAAAGGAAATGTTATTTTAGAGCCAGGAATGTCTGCATTGTTCATTCTGGTCCTTATTTTGAAATTGTCATATTTTTTAATTTTCGTGAAATTGGCCAAATTGCAAATTTCTGACCACATTATTGGGTAGTTGAAATCGTAAATGGGCAGTTTCTTGTACTCAATCAATGGAAAAAAAATGGAGTTCTGAAGAAATAGCTATGAGTTTGGTTGACTGGAATAATGGAATTAGCCGAAAATAGGGCTCAAAGTGGGCGAAATCGCCGATTTGTAAATATCGCCGAGGTCGCTAACTTCGCGAGAGCGTAATTCCATCAGTTTTCCATCAAATTTCGTTTTTTTTTTGGGTGACTTTACAATCGGGAAAAGATTCTCTATCATTTCATAAGAAAAAATAGTTTTTTTTTTTTTTTAAATTTTGCGACACCAGGAGACACCTCAGGATTGGGGGTTGCGACAGTCAAAGGGTTAAATCTTTCAAACCAACCTTTGCTGGCCTTAAATTCACTCACATCACCACTAGCTGCAGGCAATTTCTTTACCAAATCATCATGCACTCCGACACACGCACTCCACTTTCGCACTTTGC